AACAAACAATACGAATATAACTAAAAAACAGTTAAAAAAAAGATTAATTGTTGAAAAAGAAAAAAACCCAGCCTTTTTGTATTATGTTTCAAGGACGAATAATTCTGAATAATCATCCATATTTATCGACATGATGTAATTTCGATCCTCTATCATGGATGAATAATATTTGTAAGTGTCATAAATATTCTTTTACCTATGATGTACGTGTCGCCATAAACAAGCACGTTATATAAATGTGTTACAATGAGTTTTTCATACGCGTATTAGTAACTTATGAATTGATGTTTAATTCATGACTCAACTTGATCAAAAGACTTTTGAATCATTATCATGCGGTTCAGTATGCAATTCATTCGATTTTTCGTTTCATAAATTATTCGCTTTAGAACAAGATCATTTTCTGTTCAGAATGAAACTATAAGTGTAACAAGAAATAGCTTACACTCAATCACACTCTTTCAATGAAGTTAAAGTCTAATAAAACATGCAGTCGAACGAAAAGAACGACTTGAATTAAATCTAAAGTATCAAGAAAAGATACTAATACTGATCAAGCATAAGTGAGACAAATATTGAGATTTAGTAAATTTAACTTTTGATATTCAGATTTATATGAAATAACTTCTACTATCTTTGAAAACTTCCATTCAGAAAAGAAAACATTATTGTTATCGACGTGATGATCAAAATAAGATTGATCATGATCAGTTGTAACAATTTGATATTTCTACAAATTACACAGACATTTAGATAAAAGAAAACCATATTAAGAATAAAGTACAAAACGAAATCGTCATCATCATGAGTTACTTCATTGAATAAATTAAACACAGGGTCTTGAGTATTGTTAGATAGAACTAAATAGTAGTTTTGTCGTTATACACTGCTACGAGGCGTCTAACCATGGATTTGAGATTCGTATAATTGAAGATAAAAATAGTGTCTGTCATGAAAACCATTCCTGGTGAAAAGTAAACGACTATAATAATGATAGTTTTTTTCATTGTATCCATGATTGTTTAGAAACCATGGCATACGACAAGATTATTATTTTTGCATTTTGTTGAAACATAACAACCATTATTTTCTGTATTATTTTCAAGACGATATAATGAATCAGGCACAGTATGAATAATATTTTTTTTGATGTTGTGTGATTCATGACAATCACTAATAAAGATCAAAAATGTAAACCTAATTTTAGAGCTGTAGATACGTATGATAACAGAAATATATTCGTTCGATCTGAAATTCTCAGGAATTATATGGAGACTGATTTAATGGCATCATTTTTGAATTTGTTTTTGCTGGAATTATTAAATTTCAGGTAAGATTTGACTTCGATCACGCATTTGCTAATGTGAATACTTAAACAGGTATATTAAAAACTATTACTCTTGCAAGATCTTAAAATAAGTACAAAGAAATAATTACAAAAGTTTTATATAGCTTTCGATACAGTACTCAATTCAGAACAGAATTTCGTGCACACTTCCAAGTTAGGGTTAAGAATCGGTTTGAAACAAATAAAAATATTATCAGAATAAATGTTCATTTTGGTAAACTTTAATATTTTTACAAAGAAAGTCACCACAATAGTTTCTCTTAAGAAAGATGAGAGCATTTTTCATTCATCAAGAGAACATTCAAAATAGTCACAATATCATATATTTTTGAACATTATCGGCTAGGTTGATGCCCAGAGCAAGCAGAATTTTCTGGGTATGTTCAGAGTAATGTAATGACTTTCTGAAGTATGTACTATTGGAATCATTGACAAATTGTGTCATCAGTGACATTTTTCTCATTCATTTAATTGTTTATACAGTCTTTCTCCATAGACGTAGCTTTTTCATCGAGCTCAAAGACTTGCAAATCTATTATGCAAATATCTTCGGACTAGAAATCGATATGTTCTACATATGTATATTAATCATTTCAGTGCTGGCAAAATATTATCTGTAAAATAAGTTTTAGTAACATATTTGTGTTTTATTTTGTTATTGAGTATCCCTTCACGTAGTTCTGCTTTGACATGTTGACGTATTACAATGTCAAAAGCATGTTGGCACATGCACTAGTGTTCAGTGCTCTTCAACAAGTATTTGTATGCTGATATTCAGTAAATCTAAACAATGAACAATTTCAAAGCGATTCACGCAAACAAGTAAACTTTTGAATTGTGCTCGATCACCTAGAGATAATGATGCTTGATTAACTCGACGTCAAATATTGTTGATAAGAGAATCATTTTCGTTGTGCAATTCAAATTGACAGTTGAGGATATAGGTATACTGTCTGCATGAAATAAACAAATACAACTGACAAGATTGTGCATTTTCATCTCAATTTTCTCATAATCTTAGATCAAATCACGCTGTTGATCATATTCATCATTGATAAGAAAGCTATCTTGCATGAATTTATTATTACCTACTTCAGACTTGTTGAACCGAAGTAAACGTCCAGATCTAATCGTATTTAGAAATACAGGTATATCTGGTGTTATTTTACTGATGAACACTTTTGAAAAGTACAAAACAACTTCATTTTATATATTAGCTAATGTATGTATACAAGCAGTCAATGGAGAACTACTAGCATCTTTGTATTGAGTGTGGTGTGAGGCTTGGACTAGTGTAATCATGAATTCAGAACTTTGGTTCCTAAGGACCTGTATACCATCCTCACATCCTTAGTAGCTACGTTTTCTGACATGTACTCACAAGATACTGTGTGCAACTGTTAGTACCATCTGCCATGAAATGATCATGGACAGGTTACTAACGGCTGTTTGCCTCGGACCATCCATCGGATAGCATGTTGACTACGTTGTGAACTACACTTGGTCTTTTACTTAGTTATGATGTATGCGGAGCGCAAGAAGTCGGCATCAGGCTAACTTTCTGTACAGAGCTACAGTTAGTCCTAGTTGTAGTGAAGATGGCTAGGCATTGAATCTGCCACTAGACAGTATCCCATACTGCAAAACAATATAAAAATTTGTTTTTTTATCTGATGTAATAGTTTGAAAAAACATCGAATGTATGTGAATCAGTACGGAAATCTAATGAATGACATGAATTGACAATATCTGATGTCCTATTAACAAGTGATTGCCAGATTAAATTATATCCTGAAATTCAATGGAAGAAAATCAACATGATTAATTCACATAAAAATTGAACAAATTAATAATAGACTCATTAGTTTTGTTCAGATCCTTATTTATTTGTTTCTAAAATTCAAAAAAAATCGATGCGAAATAGCAGAAAACTTATTTTTATGCCTTATGTAGGATTAATGTATCTCGGTCTACAAAAGGTCGTAAAGAAGCGGAGTATTTTACATTTTGTACGCAATTGTTCGTTCTATGATTCTGGGTAACTTCAAGATCTAAAACAATTAGATTTTTGGCATTTCAGATAATAATACTTTAGTAAGAAAAAAGAAACTCAATCCGATCGAAATATATATATTAATTTGATAAAACAAAAAGACCTCGTTTAACTATAATTTATTTATTTTCCAATACATTTCTTTACTTGTGCAAGTCTAATAACAATTTTCTTATGTGAATGAAAGCTAGATGATCATTTTCTTCGTATTTTTTCCCTATAATCTTCCTCATAATCTTTCAACGAATCGTACATCTCCGAATTTTCCACTATCATCTTGAGCTCAAATTTGAGCATTAAATAATTGATTAATAAATTGCTACACAAATTTTGTTCTTTGTTGACGTTGTATAACCCTTCGACGGTGTCATGGGGTCCACGTGGATCCATTTGACAGTTTTTCGTGTTGTACTAATTTAATATTTGCTGTTTCGGATCATTTCTCTTCTCTAATCTCTAATCTTTAGTAGACGCATAATATCCTTATCAAATATCACAAATAAGTCTAGAAGGAAAAAAACACAACTGTGGGCCCACATGGACTCTAGAACACCGATGATGTTATAGGCATATATTTTCGTCTTTTCGACGCCGCTATCTGTTGTCTTTCGATCGTTTTTCCAACTAGATTCGTTATGATTCGTTTGTACATTCATCATTAATAGTAATGATTCACATTTTCTTTATACAGTGTGAGATTTATGATTGCTTTTGGGTCAAAACCAAATTACATCATGTTTGTCGATTCATCCAAAATGAGTGAATTTTAAACTGTTTGTCAGGGTGTGGCTGTGGCTATGAGTGTTGGTACTGGTTTGAATGGCAAAGCAAAAAATGAATTACACATACAGATAAAGCCACATACCCACCCATACTCACACCCGTTTGTCTTTCTCAATCATAAACAATTACAATGACAACTTGCCAGACATGTGAAGAAAAGAATTAGGAAAGATTGCATTCACTGAAAAAAATCAAAGAGGAACAACTTCATCATTCTCCAAAAAAAACTACAGTTTTAAAGATTTTTAAATACGGAAAAAAAGAAAAGGGTGAAAATAAATATAATTAAAGAGAAAAGTTTCTTCTCTTCTTTAATGTGAATGTACCACGATAGTTCTACCATTCTAGACTGAAGTGATTGGATCTATCATTCCTTTTAAGTTATACTTCGATGCTGCTATGAAAAAAAATCCAGGCAATCTTCTTTTTCGACATTTTATGTCATTATATTGCCTCTATGGAAAGTGATACAAATGCCGTTATCAAAAGGGTATTCAGAGGTCTATAGTATATATAGAAGAATAGCTTAAATAAAATAAAAGTGTCGATTTTTTGTAATTTCCTATGGATCGGTTCAGGCCGACCACAGGACAGCGATAGCGTTCTACAATGAAGACACCGTCGAAGGGTTAATACATATATTCGTTGTTTTTTCAAAAATGTTCTGACAAAATATGAACTACTTAAACATGGAACATTCCAAGAAAAATATTGCAAATCATTCGGTTGAAACAGAATCTTTGAATGTTTTATTTTTTTCAAAATGAAATCTATTATTCAAATAAAAAATGCAATAAAACAAGTAGGTTCATTCGATTAGTTTTCCCTTTTTTCAAGCCGTATAAAGATCGCCTCCGGAGTTACTATGAATGCTTCACGTCGATGCATGCCTATTTCGAGCTTTTGACCTGGAAGAATATTGTATGTATGCAACACACGTGTCAAGCACATTTTCAATTCCATCAATGCAAATCTCATTCCTACGCAATTACGAGGTCCAATACCGAATGGCATATAAGCAAGCGGATGACGTTTAATATTGTGTCGTTCCGGAACGAAAAGATTAGGATCGTCAGGTCCCCATAGATCAACATTGTAATGAATGGAAGGAACATCTGGTAAGATTACAGAACCTAGAAAATAAAATATAGCACTTAAAATGAGACGTTCACTACATAAAAGGAAATGATCATCCGTCAATAAAGTACTATTCATATTTTCAATTAATCTCATTAGCTGTGCGGAAAACAATGATTATAGCTTGTTTTTGTCATATCAATCATGAGTAACTAAATTTCAATTATCAAAATATATCAATTAATGACAGCACATTTTGGACTATTCGATAGGTAAAAAATGTAAAATGGAAAGCCATAAAAAAACTGATCTCAAGCAAAGTGATCGACTTCAAACTTTAGTCTTGAACAATAATTCACTTGCTTACCTTCATCAATCTGATGTCCACAAACAGTTGCTGCTTTATTACATAGTCGAGTACTTGCCCGACCTGAGGATCGATACATTCTTAATACTTCTCGCACGAATAAATCCATGTATTGCATTTCAGCTATTTTATCGTAGTCAAGTTCTTCATCTTCTTTCCAATTTTCATCAATTTCAATTTGTAATTTATTCTGAATATCAGATCGAGTCGCCAAAATATAGGTGGAATACGCCAAGAAAGTCGAAGTTGTTTCAAAGCCAGCTAACATAAAGAGAAAAACGTTCATCACCACTTCTGTATAATGAAGATTCTTGGACATTGATTCATCTGTGTCGTCTTCCTAAAATAGTTTACACAAGTTATGCCAAACAATATACCCAAGTTCTATCAGTATCTTTGGTCATACAAACAAGCTATTTGTTTCTTTGATAGGAACAAAGATAGAATGCTTTCAGTTAAAGATGTCAACTTGGACTAAGAGGGAAAATTCTGCATTTTTGATAGTTTTCTCTAAGACTATGTTTAGTTGAAAATAGTAGATTTTAATTTATGGTAGAAAGGTGGTAGCTAAGTTCTATGTCTGAAAAATATAAGTTTTTTTTTTCTTTTTTTTTGGATTTTTGTATCTCGAATAATCTTGAAACTTTCACTTTATACAACCTTGACTTCGTCGGATGTTGCGGCATCTAACATTAGCTGAAGTAAATCCATTCGTCGTTTTCCAGAGGTTAATCGTTCTTTGACAACATTTTCCACTTGTTTGATGATCCACAAGGGTGGAAGCTCCTCTACGTTATGCATCAGCGATGGTATAATGTCACGCAATTTATTAATTAGATTGATACGGGTACTAATTAATCGAGTTAGTATAGGAGTAAGAAATGGCATAACATTGGCCACTTTAGTAATGAATAACTTTTCAGCATCGATTGCAAAACAGGCTATTGATTTTTGCATGTAAATGTTATCTATATCATTTTGCATGTCAGTATCCATACCGAATGCGCAATGCCCTGCAATAGAATATCATTTTTTTTTGTTATCATACATAAAAGCTTTTGGCGTCATTTCTATGAAAATAAAATGTGGACTATAATACAATCGCTTGAACTGTAATTTAGAAACTTTAACAGGCCTATAATAGTTTTTTAATGTCGCAGACCGCGACAGATATGCCGATATGTTGCTTTTTATTTGTTGACAACGAAGTTTAAGTTTGAAAACAGGCAGTTCAAATAATAATTTGATGGATAAAAAATCCAAAGTCACATGTCAAAAATATATGTTACAGTTTGTGAGACAAGAGAAGACACAACTTCCTCACTATACATTTCAGCACTCATTAACAATTATTTTTCACCAAAGGAAAGACGAAACTGTCTTTTTAACATCCAAGATAATCATCGATAGTCTTGGATTTCTAATTTCTAATCAATGGTCACATGAACTGGACGAAAACATTTTGAACTATGTGTACTTGCAAAAATCGAACTCTTTAGGAATGTTGAAACACATACATAGAAAGTCTATCTCCATCTCATAGATGCATGACATATCTAATGAGTCAACAAGCTATTTTAAAATCATAGATCTTATTATATTTATTTTATCTTAATTTTTAGCTTGCTCTCGATATCTAAAATCAAATTTATATTTTGGAAAAAAAATGATTTTTATATTCGAATTAGCGATTGGCGTTACTATGATGGATTTGGTGATGCAGTTTTCTAGATCTCTCAGTAAGGCTCTTATTCTATGAGATCTAGTAGTAATTTTCAATTATAGTAACAAAATTGAATGAATTTAAACAAAATGTGAATTCATAGTTAAATCGGTTTCTATGTGAAGTTCTAAAATCAAGCTCTATGCAGATATGTTTCTTTATTTTTTCACTATTTTCACATAATCAAAGTATGTGACAAACGAGTCTGATTTAAAACTTAACTTTAGCACAATGTTATATTAACGAATATAAACATTGTGTTGCTTGTTTAAATTATTTTTTCAAACATATTGCTAGATATTCTTCTTTTGATGTAGTGACCATATATATTGCTCTTAAAACTTCCAACTATCGTCTGTGAACTATACTGAAACTCATATTTACTACTTACAGATGACATCCATGGTCAACCGCTTGTACAGTGCGTATATATTGAATTCGTTGCCGTTCGTCTCACTCAGTTTTGTCATCATCGACCCGATACATTTATTCATTAGAGGCGTCATAGTCTTCAATTTTGCCGCTGTGAATGTTGGATTTATGACGTGTCGTTGACGGCGCCACTGATCACCTTGTGCAGAAAATAAATGTAATGCTTTGTTTTGTAGAATGCTTTGAAGAAAGTTGTTGCGACGTGAGTGAAATGATGAAAATTGTTTGATGAATACTTCTTGTAAAAAGTCAACATCTGACACGACGTACATCGGACGTGTTCCTTCGAAGAGCCCATAGATTGGGCCATACTGACGAGTCCATTCTCGGATTTGACGAGCATACGATGATGCATTCCAAAGCGTGAGATAGTGACCAAAAAAGAATTTTGGTGGTGGACCAGGAATATTTCGACGCACAAAATAGTCATAACGAGATTTCAATACCCACAGATAAGCAGCAAGAAGGCAAATGCAAGCTGCCAATAAAGTAATTGTGACAAACATTCTATTGGTGTTGACACAAAAAGACACACCGATAAAAGTGTAGAAATGAAAGAAGGTAGATTTATGTTTGTTCCTTTTCATGTTACATTAATATAGTAACGCAAACGTCCTTTTTGTACGATGAGTGTCGTTGCTATAGAGACACTGACAAATGAAAAGGTCGATTATGATTACTTTTGCACTGCTTTTCAAGTGTTGTTATCGAAGCAACAGAATGATGACGCACATGCTTAAGAACGGTGTTTATTGCGCAAATATACGAACGTATCATGTAGTATATATATTTGAGTCGTAATCTGATAAAAACAAATCTTCCTGTTACAAATTTTCTTGTCTGGTTTATTGACAATGAATTTTTAAAAATTTCTAGTAGTTATTGATGAATGTTGCCGATAGGGTAGGTATGGGGTGTGGAAGTTGTATGCTCTCACCCTGACTCCTGTACACCCACATTCACACCCAATAGTACATTCTGCCTTTTATTAATACATTTTCTTTCTTTGTTGCATGACATTTTTTGGGTCTTCTTGTTTATTAACTCTATTTTATGCCTGTTCTTTTTATCATACATTGGCCTGATAAAAGTGAAAGAACGAATATATATCTATGACTCATCGAACCAAATTCATAATTTATTTGATTTCTTTTCATTCTTTTACACAAACGCAAGAGAGAAACAACTTGACAGAGAATAATATTCCACACACTTCGAAAGTACTTCAATTTATGAGAAAAACAGATGTTTCATAAGAGAACTTTGAACTGACTAAGTTTATCGAGGTTCGAGTTCAATTAATTGTTCTGATTGAAGTTTTAAAACAGTGGAGGTTGTATTAAAAATAGTAAATATATACAGCTATAAGATGAAGAAATTTGTAGCTTGAAATTCATTCGTTACTACGTTACATGAAGTTTAAACATACTATCGTTAGTTGATAGGAGAGTCAATACATTTATAACTATTGAAAGAAGCCACATCAGCTCTAGTTTGCTAATGGTTTTCCTTAGAATGAGATCTGTTGCATACAGATAAAATATTAACAAAGTTGGCGTGGATCAGTTGGGAATCTTCCCTCGTCAGTTCTTCTGCTGTTTCTGAGGAGCATCACAGAACTGTGCGTTAAGATACGGTAAAAGTACAGTATGTAGACAGTAATAAGCTATCAACCCGAACTCTTTTCAATATATTCATAACTCATTAGGACTTACATGATGTATATAGTCCCGACTTAAGAGCGATGTATCACTGAAGATCCTCTCTCGTTAGTATAACACAACGTAGTGTGTCAGCAGTTTCACAATATCAACAAATTAAATTAAAGAGTGTATTTTTTCATAATAACCAGGTTGAGGTCAAGTTTAAATCCAACAACAATTTTTAATAATATTAGTAAATTTTTATCGAGTTGACAGGTACTAAGGATTTTTCTTATCTGTGTAATGTCCAAAATCTGAAACAGAAATTTGAAATGCTTCGCACTCTTCTTACACACTGAGTTGAGCTCAGGGACCATCTAATTTTTGACTTTTTTGATTTATGGAAGAAACATATCAGTCAGTTTCTGTAGATATGAAGGCGTGCTTATATTATGACGATGAACTAAATCTATTTGCAGCATGTTCTACAAATAGGATAGATGGGATAATAGTAAAGATAGAATTTCATTTTGTTTGTAGAACAAATCGTTCTCTAAATATGATATTTTACATGCTCTAGGTTGTTCTTTTATAACCAATGGAGACTGAATCGAAGATTTAATCTTTGATAACAGTTTCTAACATGGTAGTGTTGTTGAAAACGGTAAATTTCAAACGAAATAAATGAAAAACTATGAAAATCAAAGAATCCATTTCCGATTTTTTTTCTTTTATAAATATGTGGTTTGAGTTTTTTCTTTGTTTCGAATTTCGATCTATAGCAATGAATCTGGAACATGTCTTTCAAAATGTATTGCCGAATATCAAAATGAATTTCCGTACTACTCGACGTGCAACGATTTAATGCGAGACCAAGAAAAGAATTTCTTGCGATGAGATTTTAGTTTTTTCATCTATGAAGATGTTGTGAATCTGAAAGAAACTCGATTCGCAATGATGAGAATAAATGAAGAAATAAGATGATACTTAATCAATGGCAACCACTGTTGTTTGTTCTAATCTTATTTATCATTTTGTCTTCGAACTGAATAATTATTCACTTCTAATAGGAATCTTTTTACTTATTGTGTCTTCAACATTTTTCTTTATCGATCGGTTTCATTGATACTTGCATTCCATGAGAGCAAGTTTTCTTGAAAGATTTCCTTGGTTTTTCTTTTTTTTTTTGGAAATCTACATATTATTGTAACATCAATTTAACAAGCTTTGACATTTCTTTTTCCGAATTCGACGAATTTCTTTTATAAGCCTCGAATATTAATCACGTGTTCTAACCATGCATGATTCATCAATGCAAGTGGTAGTTAAAAACTGTGACTTAGTAGATTTTGCAACCATCGTTTGCCAACGATCTTCAGGCAGCTGACTCTGTCTATTGTTTCGCATAGGTGTAGTATGATTTGACAGAAACATAATTATTCAAAAGCGATCGCTCTTCTGCGAAGCTTTCTTTTTTTTACAAAGATTCCTAATGAATTGCTTCAAAACTATTGAGACTTTCAAGAACGATGAGCAAAGTAAATTTTTCTCGGCATGTAGTGAAAATATGACTTTCTGTTTTGTGATGCTCTCAGTAAAATAAGAGATTAATTGTAGGAAACTGACTGGAATTTCTTTCAGATTCGAGGTAGACGTATGAACATTGTTCAGCTTTGTAAATATTCGATTAACGTTGTTAATGCATGTCGAAAAAGATGAAATATACAGTGTTTAACCTATATCAGATATTATGTTTAAAAATCTAAAGTTGAAATGCTCAGAAAACTTTAACAACAACAGAAAATATATTTTTTACGCGATGGTATGGGTGTTTAGTAGTCTCTCTGGTATTTCTGTTTTTCGTTTCTATTGCTTTTTGTTATTTTTCTCGTCAGTAGATAATATCGAAATGGCTTGCAGTATTTTCGAACAGAAGAGTTTCGTGTGAATTGATCGTTCGATAGACGAAGGTTATGCTAAAAAGCTTTCTTCAGTTGCTATGATGAGCCCTATCGAATAAATGAAACTTGAATTACAATCTGGCTAATCGAACCTTAGTAGAATTGATCGATTTACTTTCTTCTCTTCTTTTAATTAGAAAAAGTGCAAAAGAGTAGTCCGAGATTCGATAAATCTTTTTTCCCTCAAAAAAAAAGGCAAATTGAGATTGAAGTTTGGGTAAGGTTGAGCATTTATTCTTCATTTTCACTCACTTACAGTGCGAAGACCTTTCGAACTGGAATCAAATTTATCAGAAAACTAATTTTCAAATATTTTCTGTAAAGTCTTCATGCTACTATGAAAAATCCTTTGTATTGAACGTATTTGAAATAGAAGAATGTAAAAATTGCTCTTTTACATAATCAAACATTGTTTTTAATAAAGCTCAGTCATTATGAATGCCACGTTGTTGAAATAGCAAGTATTATTAACATGTACTGTGCTTTCGAGACCGAGATAAATACGTATCATACGTGTTTCCTCGACGATAAAAACAGTAAATTCATCACTTTAGAAAGGGCGTGCAAGATAAATGCTTATAACTTGCAAATAAATTCGGCTTCCAATATTAACATAGGCCAATCGAAATACAATTATCTTTACGTAAGGAGTTTTTTCAGGAAGATCACAGCCAATAAATGCTGTGAACAGAAATGCACCTCTGTCCATTCTAATTGGAAGAGAGTAGATATTTAAATCGATTGTTTGAGAAAATCGACTTTTGGCTATCATTTCAATTGTGCAATTTCTCCAATAATGTCCATTGTTCACTACACTGTTCAGATTTGTGACTAATATTCGACTATTAACATAAACGTGGGACCATAGTTTATAGTCAGCAGAACAACACTACAAAGAAGATCGATTCTGATATTGTAGATTTTTAGATTTACCTGTGTTTCAGCATCACCATTCTTTATCGCATTCTCTTTGAAGTTGATTGAACCGAATGCTCCATTGGAAAATCATGCATGGCGAAAATTGTGAGGCACAATTGTAGCTTTTTGTTCTAGCAATTGTTTATCAGTTAAAACGAGCATCTAGGAGATCGGTATTCGTACAATCGATTGTCTTGAACTACCTCTGCATGTAAAAATTTGTGCGAGCGACTGTTGTACGTGTGAAATCACTATTGTAAAGTTCGGCTCCAATCAATGCTGCTGATTCGAGGGTTGACTTTAATGAAACGAGTATTGTTCATATGAGATCTATTGAAGACCGGCTGACTGAGTCGACGATCAATAAAGAGAGCATTCGATCGGAACACTTCAGATAAATAAAAATAATTGAGCTCATAAGGACTAATCAATTGAACATTGTTGAG